GCGGGTGGTGCCCCCTCTTCAGTGTTTATCAAGGCCCCAAAGGGGTCTCTTCCAGGACCACCACCGTCTCCCACACAGGTCATGGAGAGAACCTTTGGAGGCCCTCTTGGGCTCTGAACCGCCCCCCTCCCAGGCACATCCCTTTGAGACTGGGGTCAAGGCCTTTAGGGTGGCAGCCCCAGACCTGTCTGGCTTTCTCACTGAAATACCTTTCTTTCTGGGAAGGCATGCTCCGTGTGGTTTTAATTGGCTGCTTTAAGCTCTGTTTAAAAAATGCTTTAATGGATGTTGCATTGCTGATGTTGGGAGTTTCAGTGTTTGCGCTGTAAACTGAAATGATATTTTTCTTAAATGTTTGATTTGTTGGGGTAGGTACTGTTCAGGGTGGACACCCAGGAGGAAGGGCAGAATATAAATATTTGCTAATTAGAAACAAACATACCTGTGTAATTTCCAGGCAGCATTGTTTTTCCATTTAAGGAAAGGCTCTGCTGGGCAAGCCGGGGTGTAGGAATGATGGCCTTCTGACACTCAAGCCAGCCTCTTGCCCAGGGCAGCCACCCGGTGCAGAGGTATAGGTGTGGTCCTTCTGAGGGGCTCTGATGTCTAGGGATGCCATTGAATGGATCTCTCCAAATAACAGCCCCCCCCCCCGTAACTCATCCTTCAACTCTCCCACCAGCCATGGCATTTCGCCCTCCTCGGCTGTGGCGGTTAGGGTTAGGTCTCTCTGTGCTCATCGTCCCCCTTGCTCACAGCCTCCCCATTCCAACCCACCCTGCGCAGATCTGTTGAGACCCACCAGCCCCCCCCCTATTCACGGGAATGCCTTTCTTCTCAGAGGTAGACCTGTTCCTGCTCAGCCAAGAGAAGAAGGTGCCTTTATTTTTGGGGGGGCTTATCTCACTAAACGAGGCCCCAAACAGGAGGCAAGCAGCGCTCTGTATGCCCGGGGCCTGCCTGGCTGTCGCCCAGGCGCTCTTCCCAGGAGGGACGTCTTCTTGGAGAAGAATCGCTCCCAACCAAATTCCGGAACCCGCTGCTGGTAGAAGCACAGATGACCACTCCGTCGGTGATCCGACCTACTTTTCTGGGAACGGGCAGGCTGCTGTCACATCCCCGGCCAGAACTCAGAGCTAATTAATGTGTAGCTGGGGAGAAGGCAGTTTTCTGTGCGGGGTGGCCAGCCTGCAGGTCACATCAGAAGCACTTTGGGGTGACGTGTGGCCAGCCCAGCATCCTCAGCTGACACATGGCCCTTGGCTTCTGTTTAAGAATTCCCCACGGGGCAGAGACAAGGAGAAGCATGAGGAGCTGCGGGGATATTTTGGGAAGCCCAATAATATTCTGCACTTCTCAGCAAGATTATTTTCTTCGCACTCCACCCCCGCCAACATGCCATCACCTTCATGAGCAGATGAGGACGTGAGGGTGGAAGGAGGGGGAGGCCGCCAAAGCCCCTCGCTGGTGCATTTCCCCTCATTCCTGGTGCCCCCCCTCTTTTCTTTCAACCCCCACAGGTGAATATCAAATCCAAATAAATCAAATTAACCCTCCCCTCTCCAGGAAGTGATTGAATGGAAGAAGGGCTTGGACACCTTCCCCCTCCCCACCTTCCAGGGTGTTTATCTGGGGGAAAGTGATGGGGCAAGCAGCTGGTTTAGAGGATAATGGGAAATGGATTTGGATGGGGGGGGGGAAGAATACAGTTTCCTTTCCTGTGATACAGTTTAGGAAGTGGAGAAGACGATCCGAAGAGACTGAAATGTGGGTGGGCAAAGGGAAACTTTGGTGGAGGACCCAGGGACGCTCCTGGGATGGAGGCAAGGAGTTCCAGACCTCCTTTGGAAGAGGGCAAGTCTGTCCATCTGTCCACTGCAGTCCACTGGAGGATGGGATATTTCTCTGTCACCCCCCCCCTTTGATGAAGCCATTTCTGTTCTGAGGAATATTTACACTGACTTGATGGACGGAGGGGAGATCAGTGGCGACCCATATGAGTATGAGAAGGCCTTTGATGTCTGGGAGATGGAGGGGGCAAAAAGGCACCCCCGCCTCAGCCTCCTTGACGTGCCTGTTGCCGCCACTGACCCCTCTGTGGGGTTGGCCATGTTCCAGCCTTGACTGCACGGCCACCCAGCAGCCTAACTGTTAAATTGAACAAAGCTGGGCCCCTAATCCCACCCAATGCCTGCCACAGTCAGACGTACTTGCCTCTCGGCCACTTAGAGGGACCTTGTGCATCAGGGACCTCCAGAAGGTCTTGTCATTCCTGGCCCGGCTCTTTCAAACTCAAGCTCTATAGTTCAGTCCATGGCAGTAAGCAGAATATTTTCATGGGTGTTTAAAAAAATCCTTTTATTTTTAAAAAATTGTACTTAAAGTTGACATAATAGATTTTGCAATCTACAGTTAAAGAGAGATCCCTACAGAGAGGAAATGTGGGTTGTTGGAGATGTAGGAGAGCACATCTGTCCGCGTCTGCATCTGTGTCAGTGGGAATCCTTCCGATTGGCATTAAACGCCACCCTGATGCTCCCAGGCCCCTCTGCCATGGAAACAGAGCATTAACGGCTATTTCTCTTTCTTTAAAATATGCCAATAAAGCTCAATTGCCCATGTAATTGCCGTGTATTTCTCTCCTACCACAAACTTCATTTCTGATTAGGGAAAAATTCAACAGACAGGAGGGGAAAAATGCAAGCAGCCAAAGCCCTACCAAGCCATTTGTTTGCGTTCCGCTCCCTGCCGCCTGTGCTCTCCAGCTGGAAGCCTCCAGGGGTGGGGTGGGGGGACACCAGCAAACAAGGTGCCAGCAGCAGAGCTGGCAGAGCCAAATGGGCCCCTGAGGAACAGCAGAGGTCTGCCAGTGACCCCCGAGCCCAGCTTTGCCGCGCATCTCAGAAAGACGGGGGTCAACGGAAAACAAGAACCACCCCTCTGACTGGAGGGACAGGTGGAAGCCTGCCACAGCTGTGGGTCTGGAGGCCCCTCTGGACAGGGGCTGTGGCCACTCAGGAAGGCAAAGAAAGCACCGTGGGGGGGAGATCGGCGGGTGCCGTTCTTGGCTGACAGCAGGAACAGGCTGTGCCATCCCAGTGCCCCCAAGGGCTCAGCGCTTCCCCATGCGGGCCTTGATGCCACCCTCAGCCTTGGGCATTCCCAATGTTTAGCTTTTGTGGGTTCCCTTTCGGCCTGCACGGAGGAAAAAACAGTGGGTAGGGGATGGGGGTGGGGGTGGCATCAGGCACGGACCCAAGGCACTGGCGTGGTCTTGACAGGAATGAATCTACTCCCAACAAAATACCAGATCTGCTCATTATATACGTACTCATTTCAGAGTGAGTGCCACTGACATACAAACAAAGGGGCGACGAAATGGCTTCTCAGAGGGGACCAGCTGATGTGTTCAGGGAGGGAGAGAGGAGGCAGGGCTTCAGAGGAGACCCAGGAAGGCCGAAGCATTAGCCAGTCAGTCACAGGAGCTTCCCTGTGGAAGTGGCACTTGGGGAGCAGAAGCCATTCCTGCCCATGAGGCTGAACCCTGCACCCCAAACACAGCCTCCTTGGCAAGAAGCCCATGGCCTCCCCCCTTCTCACACGACCAGACCCTCTTTTTGCAAGACATGCTCGCGCCAGGAAGGCCCAGACCCTGAGAGCTGGCTGAGAAGGGTGACTAGATCATTATTTTATCTCTGGTCCCCCAAAGAATAACTAGCCTCATAAACACAGCTTCAGGATGATAAGAGATGGGACGTGGGGGGGGGGAGAAGATGAAAAACTAAAGGAGGTTGGCCTTGGCACCCATGTCTGGTCTGATTGTCGCATGTTCCTCGCGGGCAGGGCGCCCATAACCAGGAGACCCACGGCCCCTTCCTCACTTGCCCAGTGTCCGAAGGGAAGACGTCCCTGGCCTTTCAGTCGCCGGCCCAGTCAGAGCAGCAGAAGGGCCCACAGCCTCCACAGGGGCACCCAGGAAGACCTGAGAGGGCAGGGAGCGCTCACGGGGGCCGTTGGTGGAAGGAAGGGTGGGAACGCTCGCCGGGGTTCCCTTTGAGGGTCCCAGGGCGCTGGCAGAATCGAGCGGGGCCACAGCATGCAGGACCCGCTCCATCAGCATCCCCAGTGGCAGCGGCTCCTCTCCCACCCCCCCTCCCCCCTCCCAGGCTTGGATGGAAACGGTGCATTTCGCCAACGGGAGCCGACATCCTCTGGCCGCCTTCAACCGGCCTGTTTAGAGCCTTCTCGGACCCTTCTGCTATTTCAGAGCTGTTGCGTTGAAGGCTGCAGAGCAGACAAGGCTCTCTCTCCCTGATTAAACCAAATCTCAACCTTTGAATTAACCTGAATTCCCTGTGAGGTGTACAAGGGGACCTCCCGTAAACGAGGAGAGAGAGAGAGAGATGACAGGAAGGAGGAGAGGGTGCCTGTGCTTTCCCTGTGTGCATTTCTCTGTCCCAACAGAAGCAGGCTTCCTTCTTCTGGGGCTGAACGTCTGCTACTCACCATGGCCTGGGCTCCGAGCCCTGTAGGCGAGCCCTGTGGGCTGAGCCTGGGCGTTTCTAGATTCTCCTGGTTTTCTTCTTTCCCCAAAGGTGGACAGATGTGCCACCAATGAGGGCAAGTTAACCAAAGAACGCAAGAGCTAGAATAGGAGGAGGAGAGCTGAAGGGAGAAGCCTCTACTTGCTAGGCAAGCAGGGCGGTGGCGGTGGTGGTATCTCATCAGGTGACCTAGTGGTGCTGAGGTATCCCGCAGACTCCCTGAACCCTGGAAAGCCATAAATGTGGGGTTCTCATATCAGACGGTGTTGGTCTCCCTAGGGAACTCAGCAGCCCTATACGTAGACCCTCTCTGAGCAAGACCCTCTTCTGCCCAGCTGTAGAGCAGCCTTAGACCTTCTCCGTGTTGAAGACAATGGGAGACTCCCCTTCCAACCGCCCTCAACTCTCAAGCGCTTCTCTGGAACTGGGGAAAACAGAGGAAGGGGACAGGTGGAAAGCAGTTTCTTCTTGCTTTATTTTACAATTTCTCATGAAACATATTTATAGCACATCAATATTTATTTTATTATTTTTTTTTTTGCCTCGGTGCAAGACACAGGCATGTTGCATAAGTAGAAACCTTTAAACCTTTAAGAAAATAAAAATAAGAAATAAAGCACTTAACTGAGATTCCAGCTAAGTATGTAAAACTATATCTGTAATGGCCAAAGTGAAAAATGTTAACAGCAAAAGTTGCTTCTTAAGAATGATCTTCAGATGGAAACCACCAAACCAGCACCTTCCATCTCATTAACCCTGTATCCTCCAGCAGCATGTCATGTACTAGAACTCTTGTGCCACTCTTGTGCTGTAGAAATATGGGGAAGAGCACCTGGGTGTGTATGTGGGGTGGGGTGGGGGGTGCTTCCTCCCACATAAGCCCCTCAAAAGTGGCTCTTGACATGCCTCCCCAAGGAGCACCTGCCCAGAGGACATCCTGGGCGCCCTGAGCCAAAGACGACTGCCTGCACTCTTTGCCAGCATCCCCTCCCATGCCCCCCCGCGCATCCCCCCCCATCTTCCTGATGGGCACAAGGCCTTTCCCATTCATCACTCACTTCTCTGGGGGAGGAAGCCTGCCCCCCCTCACCGGTTGAGGTTCTCCAACTGGAATGAGAGGGGACCCTTCTGTGGGGGAGGGTCAGTCCCTATGCGCCCCCCTGCCCCTCATGCCTGTAGCAAATTGTTGCACCCCTTTAACACAAAGGTTGTGTTACCTTGGCAGTTTGGGAGAATAAAGTTATCTCAAGAGATCAGTCACAAGCGTGCTGAGGCTTCTTGAGAACTGGCTTCAGACAGCATTCTTCTTCACAGTGATAAATATGAAAGGTTGGAAAAAAAAGGTCAGCACAAAACATTTCCACCTTTGTTTTTCTTTTTTAAAGTTTGTATGCAAAAATCATTTCTTTGTATTAGCAATTATAAAAATTACAAACTCTTCCTTGAAGTAACTGCATCTGTAAGTTATGGTAGAAAAAGTTTTTGGGAAGTAAGATTTAAAATGGAGTTTGCATAAAATGGAACCTGGCCTTTCGGTCAAACGTCCAAGATAGGCGGGTGGGGCCGCGGAGTGGCCCACGTGGTCGATTAACGGAGACAGCCAACAGAACAACCCAAAAAACCTCACGGGGCAATTGGGAAATGGAGGAGGAGCTGGAAACGGGACAAAATCAACACTGAAAAAGATGCCATGAATAATGTGCTCGTTTTTGCAGTTTTGGCACTTCATTGGAACAATTACTTTTTCTTTTTTTTTTGTCAAGGACCCAAACATGTAGAAAAGGTTGACAGCTCTTGGACATACCTTGCAAATATAGCACTTTTATGTTCTGGCAAACACGGAAACAGAGTTAAACATTCCCACAGAGTTGCACACGCATGCATGAATCAGACGTTGGTAAGACAGGGTCACGGATCTTGGCGCTGACGGTTATTGGCGGCGGGGGGGAGTTTTTCAGGCAGTTTCTTCCACGGACCGTGTTTCTGACTTGAGTCTGACAAATTCTTTTGCAACGTCGTCACTGGTCCTCTGAGAGAGTATCTGGAGGATGGTCAGCCCTGTCTCGTCCATGTGGATGCTCCTGAGCAGCGGGTGCCAAGCGGCACTGCTCCCACGCTCCGCCAGGCCACGCAGCTGGAGGACGGTCATGCCGATGACGTGGTCTTCCCTCGCAAAACAGTAATCCTTCACAGAGAGGTGAAGCTCGTAGGATCCGGGCCTCTCATCGCTGCTCAAAAGGCTAGGGAGAGAGAGAGACAGCACAGCGGGTCAGAATTACACACATGCACACACACACACATACGCACACATACGCACACATATGCACGCGCATGCGCGCACGCACGCACGCACACACACACACACACACACACACACACACAGAGTTTTTGCACGCCCACCAGCCCAGCCACGTTCAGAGAGCAGCACTTACAACTGGAAGGTCTCGTTGTACTTGGGAGACCACGTGTTGCTCTTGGTTTTGGTGCTGTGTTTTCTTTTTTTGTCACTCAGGTTGGGTCCCAGAAGGCAAACCTCCACAAAGGGCCGGAACATGGAACTCGTTTGCCAGTTGAGATTTTTAATTGCTATAACTGCAAACAAAAACAATGATTGATTATACAAACGTACGGACGGTGAGAGTTGAGGGCCTTAGATGGAGCCCCCAAAGCAGACAGGCACAGTGGAAAGGAAGGCAGTCACTCCTTTCTGACTGTTCCCTACGCAGAAGCTAAGAGGCGGGGGGGGGGCAGGCAGCGAGCGACACCTTTTGCGTTTACAAAAGGCAAATGGGCCCCGGTCAGGGGCGTGTGTGTTAAGGTAGTCCCACAAATAGCCGGAACAGACACCGGCCAAATGCAAAACAGGAGCATTGGGTTGTTCCAAAAGCCCTCTTCTCATGCCTGTGAGGGGAACTCCAAGGTTCCCCTTGACAATTCTTTTTTGTCCAGTCGTCTTCGACTCTAGGGGGCGGGGCTCATCCCCGTTTCCAAGCCATAGAGCCAGCGTTTTGTCCGAAGACAATCTTCCATGGTCACATGGCCAGTGCGACTTAGACTCGGAACGCTGTGACCTTCCCACCGAGGTGGTCCCTATTTATCTACTTGTATTTGCATGTTTTCGAACTGCTAGGTTGGCGGGAGCTGGGACAAGCGACAGGCGCTCACTCCGTAGCGTGGATTCGATCTTATGACTGCTTGGTCTTCTGACCCTGCAGCACAGGCTTCTGTGGTTTAGCCCGCAGCGCCACCACGTCCCTGAGGGGAACTCTGCTGCCCTCCAATAACTGATGCCCATCTTCCACACCAACAGGGCAGGACTTTGGGGTAGAACAAGCAGAGCTCGCCCTCCACATTTTAAAGCCATACCTCCCCTCCTTCCCGCAGAACACCAAAGTCTACATAGGGTTCAAAACTGCCAAGCCTCCTGGCCCTGGGTGGACCTCTCGCCCCCTCGCCTTCAGAAGCTGCCCTTCCTAAGGGCTCCCCCCCCCTCGCAACACCCGGGCTGAGCAGACAAAGGGGAGAGGGCACAGGAGGCGCCTGCCTCCTGCCATTGGGGGGGGCTGTAGCCCAGCCCCTCCTCTCTGCACAGACCCCCCCACCCCCCTCAGGAACGGCCTTTCCAAAGGCACCCCAGTCCAGGGCAGGGTCCCTCTGCAGGGGCCGCCAGGGGTCAGAGGGCCAGGCCACCCACCTTTCACCGTGACCTTCTGCTCCCCCGTTCCGGGCTGTGGGTTCAGGTCCACCTGCAGGTTGATCTCCCCGGCGGTGTCGTCCTTGGTCGCCTGGCCTGCCGGGGAAGAGGAGGAGAGGGGGTGTCTTGAGGGTGGGCACCCCGAGGGACCAGATGGGGCTTCAGGCCTCTGGAAGGCACTGGCTGGAGGGGGGGGGGGGCAGGGAACCCTTCCTGACTCTAAGCAGCCAGGAGGAACCGTGAGAAGATAAGGGGAGCCCGGAAAGAGGGTGAAGGCCTGGAAATGAGGCCCCCACCCCCGGTCCTAACTGGGAGGCAAAACTAGGTCCTTTCTGGCCACTTTCTCCCCCCCCCCCCGAGAGAGGAGGGGGGGGCTCTGGCTCCAGCGCCTCTGTCATTTTCCAGATGGTCTCCATGAGAGCAGAAAACACCCATGGGGAGGAGGAGGAACAAGCAAGGTTCCCAGCCGGGTGCAAAAGCAGGTGGTGAGGCAGCGTAGGAAATAATTTCAGAGGGAGGTCGTGCCGGCTGGTCCACGCTCGCCTTCAGGAGGGGGGGGGAGCGAGAAGCCTCACCTTGAATGGGGCCACCGTGGTTTCCGATGGCAGTGAGGTTGGTGCGTGTGTGTCTCTGTGTGTGTATGCGGGGGGGGGGCAAAGTGAGAGGGAAGAGTTTCAGGAATAGCCGAGGAGCTGCGCTCTTTGACATCAAGATCAGCATCCTGAAGGATCCCTGCCAGGGTTTTTGAAGACCCGACTGCAGCAACATGAAAGCAAGATGGCCCTCCCTCTGTCCCTCCCTCCCTCCTCCATCTGCAGTGAAGGGCTTTATGGCTTTGGCCAGTGGAGGAAAGCAGGCGCTTCTTCAGGCTGTCCCCACAGGCCAGAGGGCGGACCAGCCCCCCCCCTTGGTGAAAATGGGGAGACAGGCGTTGTTCCCTGTGAAGCGTTCCCTCAGGGCCGGGCCTTCCCTTCAGCTTCCGCAGAAGTTCTAAGCTCTCCTGCTAAAACAGGCGAACCCATCTTGTCCTGGGCCAGGCTGTGGGTCTCCAGGGCTTCACACGGTCAGCTAAGACCACCCCTGCCCCCCCCAGGAACAGTTTTTGAGTCGGTTGGACTCTGCCATCGTCGAGGAGAAGGACAGGCCCTCTTCCCCACCTCTAGTCATCTTTGAAAGAGAGAGCAAACAACCTGCAGTGACCACCCCCCAGAGGGGAAGATACTGATTTCAGGGACCCCAGCCTAGCCTGAAGGGCCTTCCCCATCTCCCAAAACTCTTTCCCACCAAGAAGCTGAGGTAAGCAGAGGACTGAGCTCCAGAAAAGGAGGAAGCAACCAGCACCAGCACCGACTCTGGATGAGACTTTTCTGCCAATGCCTGACGGATTGGCTTCTCTTCAGACCCACATGGTGCCACGTGACCTCTGCCGCCAGCCCTTCTGGCCACTTCCTGGGACTGTGGCTGGGCGGGCATCACCTCTATTGCCAGCAAAAGCCAATGTGTCAGGGAAGGGACCGGGACGGGACGGGACGGACGGGACGGTGGGTGCCCCAATGGTGCTTCCACCTCCTCTGGCCTCTGGAACTGGGGGCCACCCTGGATGATGGGGAAACGGTCACCCCGAAGGGTGGGGTCAGGGCCAGCTTGCTCTCCAGAGGCCTGGTGCTTCTGGGCAAGTGGCGCTTCTAGCCGGAGCCTCGGGCGGCTCTAAACGGGTAAAGAGGAGGCAGGAGGCACCCAAGAGCTTTGAAAGGCTGCTGGGCGTCTGTCTTTAAATTCCTGCCACAGGTTGCTTTTCTGAAAGCAAGTTTTGGGGGAGGCATAATCTGTCTTCTAGAAACACAGTGATTAAATGAGATGAACAATGGAGATCTTTTCAATTATTCCCCCACAACTGTAAACAAATGGAAAGTAATTGGAAAATGAAGACTTCATCCCTGTCTGTGGAGGAAGCGGATTAAGGACTCCGCTGTCTTGGCCGCTGGGGATTTCCAGCGAGCCGAAAGGGGCCTTGAACAAGGAAAAACCAAATCAAATGAAGCCAGGTCGCCTGCCCCCCCCCAAAGCTCTCTTTGCGAAACCGCCATCTTCTGGACTGAGGAATGCCTTTGCGCCCAAGGGGCAGGCGGTCCTGGTCACGTTTCCATCCCTCTGAAGGCAAACTGCCCTGGTTTCATCCCAGGAAGAAATCCTGCAGGACTGGCGCCTAAGGAAGGAGCTCAGCTCCTCTTCCTCTTCCGCTCTGAACAGAAGAGCTACAGAGGTCTGGAAATGGGTGGCTCAGTTTTCCTTCATGCATGGCAATGCAAAGAGGAATGGGGACCGAGAGCAAGAGGAAATCTTGGTGGCTGGGTGCCCTGCCGCCTGCTGAAGCGTGGAGGCAAAGGTCAAGGCCTTTTGTCCAACGGGGAAGGGGCCTAGTTCCCTTTCGCTCCAAGATGCCCCGGAAGTCACCTCTTCTCTTTCAAGAAGGCAGGACTCACCATGACAGAGGGTGGAAGAGAGGCAGAGATGTGGAGGATCCCGAACAGGTGCTCCTGCCTTGGGGACCCAAACAGTCAAGGTCGTCCTCACGGTCGCATCCTGCCCTCACCCCGGCCGCTCACACACACCCCACTGCCACTACTACTGTTGCTGCATTGCAAGATGTCTGATCTGGCTCACAAGTGTGGTTGCGAGACGCTTTCCCACTTGGCCGGAGGGCCCACGTTATGTAGAACATGGAAAGCTGGTCTCTGTGGCTCATCTCATAGAATCCTAGAATTGTGGTAGGGTTGGAAGGAACCCTGGAGGTCTTCTAGTCCAGCCCCCTGGAGCCCAAGGCAGGAGACCTCAGACCATCCCGGACAGAAGGCTGTCCCATGGGGCACCCACCACCTCGAGAGGCGAGCTGTTCCACTGCCGCATCTCCCCTGCAGACACCTGGCTACTCATCAGGAGAAAGCGAGTGCCAATTTGGGTGTGTGTGTGCACGCGCGCTCTGGTAAAGAGGGGAGGGAGACCTGCTTCTCCAGCTGGAAGCCCCCCTAAAAGCCTCTCCAGTTCTCCTCCAGACTCAGTGACCTGAACGGACCTCTGAAGTTGCAAAACATGAACCCTGAAATCTCTCCTGGGGCAGCGGCACCGTCTCTCTCTCTCTCTCTGCGCTCCATGAGGAAATGGCCACCCCCCACCCCCCCTTCAAGAGGAGGAGGGCGAGAGGCAGAGGCTGTTGATCAGCCCAGAAGACTAGCCTTGCTGTGCAGCGTCTGATGGGCAGGCCCTGGAGGATGGCCTTCCCCCTGCTCCCCTCCAGCACCAAGAGGGAGGGCTCCGGGCTCCAGGCAGCCCACTCACCTTGTGCCACCTGGGTATCAATGAATTTCCTGATCAGGATGTCCGTGGGCTGAGTGTAAAGGTTCAGTGCGTACTTGAGGGACTGCATTTCCGGACTCTTCTCCAGGAAGTTCTTCTTCAGCCCACTGCCTCCTGCATGGAAGTATTGCTAAAACAGAAACCAGGGGGAGAGGAGAGGAGAGGCGCTCAGCCACTTGAACCCGAACTCGGAAATTGGCCCTCTCGGCAACTGCCCCGCCAGGATGGGAAAGGAGCCAAAGGGCACAGACTTTGGCCTGGTCTCTCTCCCCCCCCCCGACCTCCCCAGGCCTTAGTGGGTGAGCTCTCCCTCTGCTGCCCCCACTGGGATAAGAGCCTCCCCCACCCACGGTCCTAACAGAAAGGCGAAGCCCACTCTGTGAATGGCTCCTGCGGGAGAGCCCGGAAGCACCGGCGAAGAAGCCTGCTCGAGTTCTGCTCTCGGTTCTGCCCAGCTTTGCTGGATGGTAGCCAACAGAGTTGAATTGCTGGGAGGTAAACTTAATTAGCTGGCAATTAGTGAGCAAAAATGCCTGATTAGACCCATCTTTCAAGGCAGAATTGATGTTCAGCGATGGGGGTGTGGCCTGTGAAATTCACCCCCCCCCTTGACAGCCTTGAGGAAGACAGATCACCAAACCGTGAGGGGTCTCAGGGCCCCTCTGACCCCACGTGGTGGGAGCCCCACGGCTTGGGTCGTCTCTGTGCGGGAAGGAAGGACACACACACACACACACACACACACACACACACACACACACACACACACACCCCCACAGCCCCCAGAGCCCGGCACTCCTGGACCGCTTGTGTTGTGCAGATTTAAAAGTCTTGGAACTTTTTTTTTAAAAAAAAGTTTATTCTGAAGGATACAGTTACTGAGTAACTGTATCCTTCACATTAAACTGTAACTGTATCCTTCACAATAAACTTTTTTTTTTAAAAGTATCTCATGAGCCTGGGCCTCTCCTGTGCTTTTTTGAAGTCAATTTCTCAAAAAGATCAAAGAAATACCAGAACATGCTACTTCCTTCTGACCTCCAACTACACCTTGGGTGTTCTTAAAATTCCTTGCCTTGCAGGACGAACTTTGAAATGGTTGCTTGTTGACTGGGGGTGACTAAAATAAACACAATTGCCCAAAGGAAGTCTCCAGACATCCTGCCTGGGATGGAGAGGGAGGAAAAGGGGCTAGACGCTGCCAGAGGCCTGCAAACAGAGGCACTTGGCGGACGGTGGCGGCGGCGACGACATCGATGAAAGGCCACAAATTACTATTTGCTTAAAAGAAACTGGAGGCTGGAATTGACACGCCACCGTGCTTGTCAATATGAGACTTGCATTTGATTTGCGCAGACAGAAGTGCCTTATTTGAATACTGTCTGCTCTGCACTTTTGTGGCAAAGTTAAAAAACAAAACAAAACAAAGCAACATGTGGAGACCTGAGACGACCTCTATGGTTGGACGTTAACTAAGTGGTACCTTAATGGTTGCCAGAACCACGTCCATGATTGCACACTGCCTCAGCGTCAGGCTTTTGGTGTCCTCCCGAATGACGTGGTCCTGAAAAGAAACGCAAGGGTGGGAGCAACGGAGGAACGTTTCTGAGCGCCGGGCGCTCGGATCCTCCCTCTGCCCCCTCGGTGGGGAGCATCAGCTGCTCCTCTGCCCAGCAGTGAGCAAACCGAGTGGCTTTTAACACACGATCAACAGCGGCCGTTCACGGCTACCCGGGGCCAGTGGGGCAGTTTTCAGACAACACTCGCCAAGTAGTGGAGGAGGAAGAGGAAAGAGTTCCCCCCTGGCTGTTGGAAGGGATGTGCTCGTGGAGCCTTCATGTTGAGAGGCAGTCTACCACTGGGGGGAGAACAGCAGGAGGAGGAGGAGGCGGCAGCGGCGGCAGCTATGAGCTCTCTCTCTCTCAGCCGGGGCCTTTGCAGAGGCCAGCGGGCAAGCGCTGGACGCCACGAGCGGCTGGACTCTTCTGGCGAGGATCCTGCCGGGCAGGGTGTCCCTCCTGGCCCCTCTCCCGGGAAAGGCTACCTCCCGGCATCAGGAGGAGAGACCAGGGTCGAGGGGTCTCCCGCCCGGTGAGCGCGACCAAGAACCATGGGGGAGGGAAAGGCTGCCCCCCCAGCCCATGTGTTGAGACCCCTCCTGCTCCTGCAGCGGCCCTGCGTCCATTTTGCGGGGCTGCGAGGAAGGCCGCCCTTACCTTCAGCTTGGAGAGTTGGCTGAAATCTTTGGCTGCGCTGAGAAGCATTGGGGGCCCCTGAGGACAGAAAGGAAAGAGGAGTTGGAGTCGGGGGGGGCTGCGGGGAAGAGGCCCCCTCCATCTACTGGGGGCGGCCTGGGTGCCTTCTTCCTGAGCCTGCCGTGGTCCAGCGGGGGTGGGGGGGATGGCCTTGACCCTCTCCCCAAACCAAACAGAACAGGGCCTCGAGGCCCTGCCCTACCCTTGGGGCCAGCTTTGCCAGGCATGCCTCCCTTCTACCGTGTGACGCCCACGGGCTGGCTGGAGTGCACTAGCAGCCATTTAGCTGCCATCCGTCAGAGAACGGCCTGTGGCCTCCATCTTCCTTTTGGCGCTTCCAGGCCACTTACCGTTTGGTCCGTTAGCGGTGGCAACACAATCTGCTTCTCTATTTTGCTCAGGACCAGTTTCCAGAGCTCCTTCAAGACCCGCTTCAGGACCGTCTTCTCACAGATTTTTGCCGAGGCGCTTAAGCTGCAAAGCCACAAAAGCCGTCCTCTCATCAGAGGCCCAAGCGCCGGGCGGGGGGGCTCCCAGTGGCCGTGAAGGACGGCTGAGGCTAAGGCGGGCAGAAGGGGTTTGGGGAATGGAAGAAAGGGTCCCGGGCAGGGGAGCCCGGCTGAGCGCCTCTGCGCCCAGAGAGAGCCCTTAGAGGGTGGTGGTGGCGGTGGGGACCCCCCCCGACTGTCCCTGCCTCAGCCATCCTGCAAGGAATGGGGCTGCCTGAGGTCCCTGCCCTGCTTACGTTTTGTCAAGGAGGTCCATCAGAGGCCTCAGCACCACTTCAGCATCCATGGCGTTGCTGCTGCCGCCGCTGCTGCTTTTGTTGGCGGCTGCCGCCCCGTTGCCTCTCAGCTGGTTCAACTCCAGACTCATTTGCTTCACACAGTCCTCAATGACAGCCTGGAAACTGAGGGAAACGCAGGAAGGAGGTCGCTGTGGAGGCAAGACCGAAGCCGCCCCCCACGTCCCCCACAGCCGTGCCCCACGTGGTCCAGGCCACGACCTCCCCTGGGGGGACCTTTCCCACTCAGGCGAGCAGTGGAAGTGCCTCCTTTCTCCAGTCCATCCTGGTGCCCTTTTCCTCTGAGGCTTTCTGAGGTGGAGGAGCCGGACACGGACCCAGGTGGCCTTGGGGACCACGTGGCGGTCCCATAAAGGGCTCGGCGGCTTGGCTGAGCCCCCTTTGGCTCCTTCCGACTCCTCCCGGTCCCAGGAAACTGAGCGTCTTGTTGCAGGTTTTTTTTGGCGGAGGGCCGGGGGTGGTGGTGGGGGAAAGTCATGCCAGAACACCCCTGGCTCTCCTCCCGGCCCATCGGGAAGGGGACAGCTTCTGTCTTCCTCGTGTGGCTTCGCCTTCCTTCCCTCACCACACAAACTGACTGAAAAATGGCTTCTGCACCCAGAAATATCCCTTATTTGATTACTGACAGACTATATTTCCAGCTGCCCTTTGAGGGGGAAAACCCCCCGCTTACAAAGCAGATTATAAAAGCTAGGCATACTATCACCTTGAAAGGACACGATAATGTCAAGGAAAAAAATCACTCACACGACTGCAGGGTGGGGGGGGAGTATTCTGAAAACCACGCTGACAATTCTGGATGCAAAGAAATTGCAAAAGGCAGTTTCTATAAAGCTGTTCTCAAGGCAAACCGAAAACCTTAGGGCTCGGAAGGGCTTCCCGTGGCTGATGCCGAGCCCCGCCGGCTGCTTCCGTGGCCCTAGCCGGTGGGATCCTGCCCTGCCCTGGGCAGGCCAAGGGCCAGATGTGTCCTTCCCTGGTTCTCCCTGGCACATGCCCGGCTGAGCATTGGCACAGGATGCGCCCTGGCTCTGAGGTCCAGGCAATGGTGACGTGGGCTTCTCTGCAGTGGGGCCTTCCGGACCCGGTGGCCGTGGCCTGCCAGGCACAGGGCCCCAGGGGAGCAGCTCACCTGGCCCCATAGATCATGCTGAGCTCATCCAGAACGCCGCTCAGCTTGGCCTGCAGCTCCTTCAGGGCCGCGCTGGCTTCTGGGTCCAGCTGAAAGAGAGAACAGGGCCGTGAGCTTCCCCTGCTGTGTCTCCTCAGAGACTCCCCAGAGGAGCAGAAGGAAGGGCAGTCAAGACATTCCTCTGTTAGGGGACATTAATGGGAAACCAACGTGGAAGCCGCAAGATGAGGAGGTGCCGGGCACAATCCACCAGGAAATCCTCCCGCACAAGGGCCCAGAAAGGGAGGGGGCTTGCAGGGTCGCCAAAGGCCTGTCCCAGGGAGATTGCCCAGGGTGGGTGTGTGTGTGTGTGGGGGGGGCTCAGACCCATGGCCACCTCCCCAGCTTCCTCTAGAGCCATCATTTCACTCAGTAGAAACAGAGGCCACAAGCCCCTCTATCTAGGTGCCACAGAATCAGGTGAACCCTCTCCCGTTTCCAAGTGCCCGTGCAGAAAGGGTGCTTGGTTGCCACCCGGCCTGGAAGCCTGAGCAGGCCTGCTGTGTGCCTTTTGCCCTGGAGAGGGGCAGGAGAGTTTCCACGCTGGTTTGCATTAAGTGTCATGAGAAGCAAAGTGTTCAGCCAGGAGAAGGTGTGGTGGTGGAGGACTTGGGTGGGGTGGAGGGGGGGGGAATCATGCTGCCACGGGAGGGAGAGAGGAAGGGAGGGAGGGGAGGAAGACGTGGTTTGTTTGTTTTTTTTCACTCCAGAGGTATCTGGATGAAGATGGCTTAGCCCAAAAAACTCAGCACACACCTGGGCTGCATCCAAGGCACTGTGGCATGCTTGTGTGCCTCCCCCACACCCAGCGGGGCAGCCACAGTGGCTCTGTTGCCCGGAGAGCACAGAAGACATCCCTCGGGCCACGCCGAGAGCTCTCCAGGAGAGCGTGAGCTGGCAGTGCGTGTCCATGTGCCGGCGTTTGCATTTCACTGCCAAAGTTGGTGCTGCTGCCTTTGCTACACCCCGGGGTTGCGTGGACACCCCCCCTCCCGCGCGCGGTCAGGGTGTGTGGTCAGAGTGAGGGACGGTGCACTGAAGGGTCAGGGGGCCTGGGAGGAGCCGTTTCTGGAGGGACTTGGCCAGGGAACGATGTCAGCAGCCGGAACGGACGGTCCAGAGACAGAATTGCCACGATCTAGGATTAGTTTCATTTCTGAAAACACCCGAGGACTTCTGAGCACAGGCACATGAGCCCAACACACATCACAGCCAACTCAGACAGTGACACAGAGGTGAACGGAGCGGGTTGCTACAGCTACCGAGGCCGGATCCAGCACTTGCTTGGGCTTCCCCAAGGAACAAGCAAGGACTCTCATCTGCAGTCTGAACACGGGCGCTTCATGCTCGGAGGAGGAGCAACACCTGTCCACGGACGTGGCCTCTGCCTCCCACCTCTATTGTGGACATCTGGGGTGGGGGGCAAGGGAGCCGTCCGCTTGCCCTCCTCTGCAGGAAGGAAGGAAGGAAGGAAGGAAGGAAGGAAGGAAGGAAGGAAGGAAGGAAGGGCGAGGCCTGGAGGCAAGGCAGCTTTCTTCTAAGGCACAGAAGAGGGAAACCGAGAGATGGGGTGTGTGTGTGCGTGTGTGTGCCTGTGTGTGTGTGCCTGTGTGTGTGTGCGCGTGTGTGTGTCTCTCTCTCTCTCCCAGCCTCTGCACACTCTCTCTCTCTCTCTCTCCCAGCCTCTGCACACTGGGAGTGACGTGTGGGGATGCCATGAGGGCTCCATCCTGTCCCTGTGCTGCTGTGAGGAATGGGAAGGACCAGATGAGCAGAGCTGCGCCTTTGATGTGGGAGCGCACCCACCCCCCCCAAGAGGCCACGGTCCACGGCAGAGCAAAATCTGGGGGAACAGCCCAGAAACAGCCAGGGCTCAGAACAACGTGAATGCCTGCTGGATCAGGGCCACAGCTGATGATGGGATACTTTCTTGCGGAAGCCATATTGGACGGTGAAACATCCCACCCGGGAAGTTTCTGAGAGATCCACAGCAGGTCTGGCGTCTGTGGGAGTGAGTGAGGCGACACGGCTGTAGGTGTGCGAGAAAGCCTGCTTCTTCTCCGCGTGGGAGAGAGTGCCCAGATGTGCCAATCTCACCCTCAAAGATGATGCCCCTCCCTGTCCTGGTCCCTCTCTTCTGGACTGGGCCACAGATGTGCATCGAAAGGGACCCCTCACCGGCGCAGCCGGCTTGCCAAGACTACCGGCCCGTCTCCGTG